AGGCTGACCCAAACGTCACTCCCACAAAAATAATTACTGTGATGTGACTAGCTTATAACTGTGTTTATTGTATATATGTCTAAACAATATCGCTAGTCTATATGTTAACCACACACACTCAACCACGGACTGGCTCACAATAGCAGCCAACGTGGTTGATCAACACACACGCCTTCACCACTGACCATAAAGGCAGTGCGCCCGGAGCTCTTCAGCTACCCGTGGAGGTCATAGATGTTAAATGTGATAAAAAAAAATTGTGTTGTGACTAGCTAGTAAATATTGTAACGTGTTTGTTGTGACAGTGTTTTTATGTAATGCCGCTAATCTTTATGTCTTTTCCAGTGGATACTGATGCAGGGGTAAGGTAATAATTCACAATAATAATGTTAATTAATGTAATTAATTAGTTAAACTTAAGCAACGTAATAGTTTTAATAGCGTAATAAGCTACGTAACAATAATAATTAACAATTTTAAGCTACGTAATAGTTTTAATTCATAACATATCAATGACTTAATTAGCTTTATTTTCTTTATTTAATAGTTTAACAATTTTTAGTACATAACCAAGTGCTATTAATTCGTAATCATTTGAATAAGAGTAATAGTAACTTAATTTGTAATAAGTTTCTCAAGACTTTTTTAAACATTAATCTTAATTAAAATAGAACTTTTAAACTTAAAATTGTATTTTATATGTATTAACCTCCTTCCCTTGCAGGAGCCTGGACAGACGGGCTTTATTGGGTCCGTAGGGTTGTAGGATTGGGCATTAGGTGCGCGGGACCGTACACGACGCTTCTGGGTGACGACTGTGTGCTTTCCGCGTCCGACGGGCCTCGGTCCTGACGACCTCCGGAGTGTGAGGGAGATGTAATTACGCGGGGGCCGCGAAAAGCTGAAAACCCGCTTCGCGGGTCGGCTGGCCACCTGCGGTGAATAATAATAAACTTCCGGTGGCAACACCTAGGTTAGTTTTAGTTTCGGTTTCCAAAATTTCTAACTTCCGGTGGCAACACCAGATTTAGTTTTAGATTTTAAAAAAGCAGCATATCACCTATTTCTGCCCGCTTGAATTTCTTATTCTAGTATTAGTTTTGATTTCAATATTATTTCTTAGCGATGGCAACACTCAATCTGTTTACAAAATGAGCAGGCGGCGCAATTTGGATTTCCAAACGAATTCATTCCATAATAGTGGTTCCATCTAGTGATTAAAATAATAAATATTAAAATAATTACTAATTTTTACACATTATAGATGCGATATACTAGTGGCGCCATCTAGGTTTAAAAGTCATAGTTATGTATAATTAAAATTAATAAATGCTTAAAAATAATATTTTAGTAATAAAACTATACATTCTTTGATACAAGATTTGAACCAGCGACCTCCAGGACAAAATGCTTCCATTGGATACTGATTTGTTGAGCACGCTAACCAGTATCCATTGGACGCATACAGTACGAAAGGAAACTTAAGATTTTAAGGAAAATAAATTTCCAGCACGCAGACGGTTACGGATAAAAACGTAGTTTCATTTTTTCTTGTTTTTGAAATGGCAACGCATAAATATTAAATTAAAAAAGTTTAAACTCGTGAGATTTTTATTTATTTTGTGGCAACTATTTTTTGAATGGCAACGATGACGTTATCTGATCAAGTATGATCTTGTTTTATCCTGCAGACTCTTACAAAAACAGTCACCGTTTGTTACTGTATGACGTTTTTCTTCACTTCTCTTCACGTTTTAAATATACTTGTAGTTAATGCTATTTTCTGATTGGCTGGCTGCTTTTTAATATATAGTTTGCAATATTTTGTTGGCAACCAAACGTACTTATAAGCAATTTCAGAAATTGAATCAGTCTTTACTTGTGTGTACTTAGTAAAGACTTAGTTTTACTTAGACACAGTGTTTAAATTTACTGAAATATGGATAAATTGAAATTAAACCAGATAGATTCTTCTACACAGAGCGTCAGCAAAAGGCCAAGAATGGATAATTTAAAAGCAAGCTTGAATTTTTCTATTTTTTATATTTACAGTGAAAATAAAGATGTTTAAGTTTTAAGCATTCTTTTTCCTTTTTAACTTTAGGGGAATGGAAAATTCACTGAGGATTGCATACCAGATGGAGTATTCCCAAATGGAGATGACGTTTTTGGTATGGTTAGCACCTATTATGATACAGTATCAGTGCACATAAGACGTTTCAAGAAATATGGAAAAACCTACTATCCATCAGCTGAAGGAATTACATTAAATCCTTGTTGGATCGAGTATATCATGGGGAAAAAGAGAGTGCCGAAATCACGAGAGGAATTACCAAGAGGGCTTTTTCCACCTGAGCATCACATTCAAATCACAAGTGAGAATTTTACTGAGTTTATTTTTAAACGTATTAAATACGAACTGGATAAAAAACCCACGTTCAAAGAAATTATCATATCCCGTGATCAATGGGCAGAAATGATTAAAAACTATAGTGCAATTGAAAACGTTGTAATAGATAAAAGGTTTCAGTGCATGGACTTTTTAACTGCTTACAAAACTTTTTGTGAAGACCCTTTAGAAAAAACAATACCTCCGTCTTTGGACGTTAGTTTGGGCCAAGAGTATTTGGTCAAAATTTTGAAAAATTCCATCTGCAGCCTCTTCTACGAAAAAGGACTGAAACAACCTCGAACTCCTGCTGAAGAGTTATTTGGAAATAAAGTAGAAACATTTAATTCATTTGCTTTATCTTTTGAGACTAATGAAATAGCTGAACAATTTTATGACAATCTTTTTGAAAATGAACAATTTTATCGTTAAAACCCATTAATTATGTAACTGAAGAATTTATTGTCAATTTACGATTAGATATTATTTTTCAAGAAGTGAGAGATATGTTATGCCCACCAGATTGTTTTGAATATTATGAGGACTTTTCTCCCAATTTTGTCTAAAAAGCTGTTCCATTATAATTGAATAAATTCACTTTATTACAATTGAATAAATGGTTTTAGATGTATTATTTGACTGAGTTTTATTTGTATGCATGCATTATGGGAAAGTGTATAAATCAAAACTAAGTGAGTTTATATATTAGTAATAGTATGTAGTATTTTAATTATATTTCATACAAAATTTTCAGAGTAATTATACAAAAAGTAGTCCCTTTGTGTCTAGGTAAAATAAAAAGGTATAAATTGTATTTGAAATAAATAGGGTAATCATTCAGTCAACTTCTGTCCCACAGTAAATATGGATCAAGATTTAGCTATGTTTTATAAAAATTCCTCAACTCCAAGTAGTTTTGGTGGTCCGGAAGCTTTACACCGCTCTTTAAAAGGAAAATATAGTAGGAAAGATGTGAAAAAATGGTTAACTCAAAAAGATTCTTATACACTTCATAAACCAGTTAAGCATAAATTCCAAAGGAATCGCGTGTTTGTAAACGATATTGATAAGCAGTTTCAGGCAGATTTGGCTGATATGCAATCCTTATCCGGGTTTAATAAAGACTACAAGTACTTATTGACCTGTATTGACACATTCTCAAAATTTGAGTGGGCAATACCCATAAAAGATAAGTCTGGAAAAAATTTTAAGTCTGCTCTAGAATCTATTTTTAAAAAAAGAAAGCCTAAAGTTTTACAAACAGATGCTGGCACAGAATTTACAAATAAAATAGTTCAGAATTATTTGAAAAATATGAATGTCAAATATTTTTCGACGAATAATGAAACTAAAGCCAGTATAGTTGAGAGGTTTAATCGTACGCTAAAAACAAAAATGTGGAAATACTTCACAGAATTTAATACTAAGAATTACATTGATGTTATAGATAAACTAATATATAGCTATAATCATTCATATCATCGATCGATTAAAATGGAACCTGCTTCCGTAAATAAACAAAATATGAAACAGGTATTACATAATTTGTATGGTACTCCAACAAACGAGGAATCTAAAATACCCAAACTCAAAATCGGAGATCTTGTGCGCATAAGTAAGAAAAAACTTCACTTTGAAAAGGGATATGAACAAAATTGGAGTGTAGAACTTTTTAAAATTTATGAAATTGTACCAAGAAGTCCAGTCGTTTATAAATTGAAAGATTCGATAGGTGAGGAGATTAACACTAGAACCCCGGGACTTTGAATATACCTAGAACCGCGGGGCGGGTCATTTTGACCCGAGATAATAAACCTTTTAAAAATACATATATGTTATCATTTAACTAAGAAAGCTGAAACATATCTTTTTATATAATAATACATAAAATTTTATATTAATAACCAGAAATGTCTTTTTTTAATGAAAGAAATATTGTTTTATTTTTAGAAATCTCTTGCTTAAAATAAATATATCTTAACCTTTATATTTTAATGGAAAAATTAGAGTTTCAAGCTTATAATTTTTACTAAAAAATGAAAGAAATACACAAAATAAATACCTCTTATTCACTTGTCTCACAATTTTTTTAATCCAATTTATTGTATGCACTCAACACACAATTTAGTAATGCGTTTTGTGCATTTACCACAAATGGGTGCTTTGCAATTTGTTCAAATATCTTGTGTTTTATTCTCACACTTTGAACTATGGCATCGAACTCGTTTTCGCTTAACTTGTAGTTGTTCATCATACACTTGTGTTTTTTCCTTCTGCCGGGAGAGAATAAATTTTTCTCGCAATTCTTCAATTAAGCCTTGAATAAATTGGCGTCTACTAATACACTTCCCGGTTACAGCTTTGTATAAAACCCATGCATTAATAGCAGCAAGGTCCAATATATTATAAAAAACCTGCACCGGCCACCTACGTGAACAAGCTTTGACAGTATATTTTCTTGTCATTTGATCAATTACGTCGACACCGAATTTAGTTCCATTGTAGAAAGCAATGGTATCTGGCAATTTTTTTGAATCATTTGTAATTTCAACTGTTGGGTGAAGACTGCTTAACAATAAAACATTTTTATCTTTTTTCCCCTGGTAAACAGTTAGACTGATGTCATTATGAGTAAGTAAGTGGTAGAATGCAATTCAGATTTCGACACTTTCACAGAGACAGGTATTTCTTTTCTTGAACGTTTTACAGTTCCTACAAGGCTGGTGTATTTTGATTTTAATGCCTCTGCAAGTTTCAACGTAGTAAAAAAGTTATCTGTAGTAACGTTTCTGCCTTTGTTCTCATATGGACTTATTAGGCGCAATACAACATATTCGGAAAGAGGAACGTTTGGTGGACACTGGTGATCTTTTCCGAGATATGGGAATCCATTAATCAGATATTTTGAATCAACATCTGCTGCCAACCAGAATTTTATGCCAAATTTGTCCGGTTTGTTTGGCATATATTGAATAAACCTACACCTAGCTTTGGTAGGAAATAACTGTTCATCTACAGTTAAGTTAGGACCTGGTGTATAGTTAGTCTTACAATTTTCAATGAAACGATTCCAGACATCGGATACAAGGGCAAATTTGTCTGTTTGTAGACGATCTGATCTCGTTGATTTTATATCGAAGCGCAAGAATCTCATAATTTCACGAAATCTGTCTCTTGGCATCGTATTACGGAAAAACGGAGGTCCCCAGTCCATTGACCACAGACTATCCAGCTCAAGTCCTTTTGCGCAATATATGCCACGTGCATATAAAATTGCTATAAAAGCATCAACCTCTTCTAATGTTACGACCCATTTATTTTCAGGAATATGACGATGAGCTTCATCTTCTGTACATTTCTTTATATGTTTTAATATCCATTCATCGATGAAGAGTCTCCAGGCACTTGCCGGACTACCGTCCATAATATTATTTCCATATGTTCTTTGTTCCTAATTGCGATAAATTCCAAACTGTCCCATCATTTCCAACTTCGAAAGTTATTGCTAATTTCTTTTTCTGATTTCTTTGTGTACATGTTCTTTTTCTTATAATTTTCGATGCTTTATTTTTATCTGACAAATTAACATCATTACCATGATGAGAAGGGCCAGGAATTGTTAGCGTACTGACAGAGTCATCTTCACTTTCATTTTCTTCAGCCGAATTCAAAACGTCTTCATTAGTAGGCAGGTATTCATCTTCACTACTCAAAATTGAAACATTCTCATCATTGTCATCTTCTGAATCATTTTCAGGTAATTGTTGAAAATATTCCAAAGCTTCCTGAACGGTAAGGTTACGACGCCGTGACATACTTATACTAGAAACAAAAAGAAAACCTTTCAATAGTCAACAAAATATTTCACTCTGAGCTCGAATGGTCTTCACATACAAACGTACATACTCATTATGACCTTAACTGAAATCCTTCACTTATCCCCCCACCACCGGTTCAGTGAGTGGACGCGATATATTCGACCCGTAAAAAATGACATTTCTTTTGAAAGATTCCCCCGAATGCGCGAAGACTGAATTGGAACTTTTTAATTTACCTGCAACTCAAACAGTTATTCAAGATGGACAGTGGATACAATTTCATCCACTTTCTAACGTTTTTTGATAACGCACCTGTAGAGTCTCAGATTTCTGGAAGTGGAGAAGACTATATAGATCTCAGTCAAACGCAACTATATGTGAAAGCAAAAATAGTAAAAGCTGACAATACGTTTATTACTGCAAATGATACTATAGGACCTGTGAATTTATTTCTACATTATTTTCTCAAGTAGATGTATCCTTAAATGATCGCGTGGTTTCTAATTCAAATAATACGTACCCTTATCGAGCGTATATTGAGACTCTCCTAAATCATGGATATGATAGCAAAACTTCTCAATTAACGGCGGAATTATTTTACAAAGATAATGAAGATGGACTCAAGAAAAGAACTGAATTTTTAAAAGAAAGGGCTGCAGTAGAAATGATTGGCTGCATACATTCAGATTTATTTTATCAAGATCGTCTCTTACTTAATTTAGTGGATTTGAAAATAAAATTAATACGCAGCAAGCCTGAATTTTGTTTACAAGGATCTGAAGGTTTTAAAGTTGTGTTGGAACATGTTTCCTTATTCATACGAAAAGTTCGTGTTAACCCCGGATACTAAAAGAAAACACAAATATTTTTAATTCTAAATAGAAAAAACCTCCTTGAAAAAAATGAGCTAAAAAGCAGCAGAAATTTCAGAAAAAAGAAGCAATAAAGAAAAAGAAAATGAAGGGAAAAAAATGAAAATATGACCACCGAAGCCGACGTCTTCAGGGGGTACCGGCCCGGTAGCCATAAAAACAAAACCATTTCTAATTGAGGGAGAAGCCATGGGTGCAAGTTGGAAAAAAGGCCAGGACTGAAAATTTTTTTGACTGAAATACCTAACATACACAATACCCCCTCGACATATGCAAACTATCTAAGAAAGCTTTACCATAATACATTAAGTTTAAATACTGTACAAAAAATATTTATTCATCTGTCTTTTGATAAAATAATAACAGGACATAAGAAAGTAGACCAATAACGTAGACCTAAAAAATATTTTTAAGGACAGAAAAAAAAAAATTCTGATTTCCGTCTTCGAGTCAGTCTTGTTTCCGTCTTACTTCCGTCCGCGGATATTTTCGAAAGACGGAAATCCGTCCTGGGGACGGAAGACTTGCACCCATGGGAGAAGCAAATGCTTAAATTAACTCCCTCAGTACCCCGATGGTTTTGTATAGAAGTCCAGGGGAAAAAACACGCACTATAAATAACAAATTAAGAAAAGAAACTGAGACAAAATCATCAGAAAAATAAAAACTCACATAGTCACAGGTCAAACATCAATTTCACAAGCAAGCCGAATGAAAAGAAAAAACTAAAACCTAAAGAAAACAACGCCCTCTATTACAATGCGCAAATGAAGAATAAAATGAAAAATGTCAAGAGAAAGAAATACGTAACAAATTAATAGAAGTCTTAATTGAGCAGCCCCAGTTAAGCATTCTATTAATTTGTAACGTACTCCTATGGTCAACCACCCAGTTTTTATGGCATGAATACATCTCCTTACTCAGCTGAACAATGGAATTCTAAAGTATTTCAATCATCTACTTCAAATGTGTGTGGTCAATATTGTATTTATTTTCTACTGAAACGTTGTCAAGGTTATTCTATGTTTCATATTTTAAATCAATTGTATGTTAATGACTTTCGAGTGCTTCAATTTGTAAGAAAAAGATACGGTGTAAGATTTGTCTTTAGAAAATAAAATAAAAATGAATAAAATTTAAATATTGTGTATTTTTTTTGTTTGTATTGTGTTACTTAATAACTAGAAAAGAATTTCTCTTCACGAAAACCTTTTTTTTTTCAAAGGAAAAAAAAAATCATTACTTTGTGAAAATTTCCTTACCAAGGAAAAAAAAATCGAACATTTTTATTTCGTTTTTCGAAATAAAATTATTTTTAAGAAAAAAATGAAAAAAACTTTAATACATTTTTTTTTCAAGAATTATTTTTATATACAATGGTGAAAAAAATGAGAAAACAAGAAAAAGTTTTTTAGAAAGATGTTTTTATAATTTTTGTTTTCTAAACATAAAAATTTTATAAATAAAATATAAAACATTGAAGATAATGACAAAGACAAAAAAAGTTTTGATTAATAAAGTAACATTTATTTTTAAAGTTTCACCCAAGCACTTCTGCTAGCATACATTACAGGTTTCTTAACAATTTTATTTTTACTATACAATTTTTTATTTACATCTAAGTGTGCTGGTAAATGAACATCATTTAATGTTTTTAAAAATACATTTCTTCCCACTGGAGCTGATTTTCTGTTTCGTAAAAAGTCATTTATAAGATTTACTATATAACTTCCAGGAACAACCTTATCTTCATGAATAATTTCACCTTTAGTGTTCCAAAGGAGAGATTCATTACTTTTTAAAAATTGGTACATATCTTTAGCTTTTTCTTGAAATCGAGCTGGAACTATTGTTAGAACTTTTTCCTCCAAGTCCTCTGTTTCTTTTTTGATATTTGAAGAGTCCTCTTTTGCAGACGCAACTACAGAATTCTCTATATTTGGAATTTCTTGCTGATTCGTTTGAAATTCTGATTCATCGGGTTTCATGATTGAAAAATGAGTATATTTCTGCAACACTTGTAAATACAGAGCTGCTTTATCGTGATCAGCTAAATATTTGTTCTGCAGAATATTTTTCATTTGTTGATCCAACTCTGGTAAGTGTTCTTGAATTTGAGCCCTGTCTTCGGGAACTAGTACGAACTTCTTACTGTGCTCCATGAATTAAAGAAATAATTACTGATATAGCAGCAGGTAATAAAATAGACAAAATTCCTTCTCCCTTTTGTATGAGAATTTTCTTTTTCCTATATAAGGGTGTTTTTTTGTTTGAAAGTTTTCGCAAATTTTCTTTAAAAGGAGATAAACGACTTTTTTGAGTTTTTGTTAGGATTATGTTTCCACACAACACATTTAAGATACATTCACTTAAAGTTTTTATCTCACTTTTTGAACACTTTTTCAGAAGAGATTTAGAATTTTTAGTTTTAGAAATTAATTTTAAGAGCTGTAAAGTTTGTTCAGCACACACTGACATCCTGTAATCAAATGAATGACGCAATTACTATTCGAGGGTATTTATCATTTCTCCAAAAATCTTACAAAAGCTTTCACTTTAGTAAGTGCGCATCTTTTAAAATTATGAATGTGATAAGGACAAGAATCTGAATTGGCAACTAATTTGTCAATTTTCGGACAGCCAATATCATCCAAATTTTCACATTTTTTTCCGATTAAAAATTCTAAAACTTTTTTTTCTCTAATCCTTCAACATAAATATGTGTGAACATATTGGATAAAAAGTTCAAAACGGTGCGTAGTTGATTATATGATAGTTCCCCTTCATATCATTCTATTAAATGTATATGTTTTGTTACCCATTTATATTGAAATTTTTGTTGACGAGTAAGTTCTTCGAAAGAATGTGGTGGAAGAAAATGAAAGTTACCCCTCCCTTTCTCTGGGAGTAAACTACTAAAGGAAGCATGTTTTAACATGGTTAAATAGGTCTGGGTGGTAAGGTGATTCACAATACAAGATATATTGTCAGTCAAGTATGTAGAGCACACAAGTAAGGTCCCGCAGATGACGTGTTTTTACGCGAATAGTAAAGGTGACATTGTAATTTAGGAACTAGTTTTCTGAAGGTGGTATTGCTGATACATCTCAAAGCAGTTTTTAAGAATTATACTGCGCATGATCGACACATGCATGTTGAACAGAATTTTTTCTTTCGTTGATGTAGTTGTCACAAAGTTGTAGAAGTTACAGGACTCCAATATGCATACATGTCATATTTGCGGGAAAAGTTTAAATTCGAAATACAATTTAAAACGGCATATTTTGGAAATTCACAATAAAAAACATTCTCAGCAATGCAAAGCTTGTCAAAGCAAATTCGTTCGTGAAACTGATTTAAATAGACATACAGAATCTGTGCATTCGACCGAAAAATTTGTGTGTTCATTTACTAGAAAAGATAACCTACGGCAGCATCTAAATAATGGAAGTTGTAAAAGAAAAATGGAAAAGCAGAAAAGAAAGCGCGCTGATGATGATGATGACAGTGAGTCTAGAAAAAAGATTGTGGCGCTGAACAACCAACAAGGCGGAGAAGTTCTACCGAACCCTCAACATCTGCCAGACCCTCAAAATCTCTGAAAAAATCGGATCCATCAAGAAGTGCTTTTAATAGGGCCTATAAGACTTTTGATCTCCCAAATGAGGAAAATTCCTTGGGAATTAAGGAATTCTTAGTTTTAAAAAAAGAAGAAACTTTGAATATATTTAAAA